GACCATGTTATAAGAGTCTTCTAAAACAATTTGGTGAATGAAGCTTGATCTCTCAGTTCCCGCAGGTAAGAGAACAGTGAGCTGTATGATTTTATAACTTGAAAGCCAGTGATATGGGTGATATGAGAGAGTGAAAAGAGAGATTATCAAAAGCATAAAACCCAAAAATAGCAATTCTGTCATTATTTACTCACCTTCATGTCAAATCCAAACCTGTATGTCTTTATTTCGTCTGTGGAACACCAAAGGAGAAAATACTTACCAAAATGTGCTTTTCTTGTTCATACAGTAAATGCAGACCAATGCTATCAAGCTCAAAAGAGAAAAAAGCACCATAGTCAATATGTCTTACATGCTATTTTCCAAGTCTTACATGATGAGAAGCAGATGAAATGTTCCTTTTTGGGTGAACTATTCTTTTAGAAACTGTATGAGATTCAGACGACATGCTTGTCCATAAACTTTATTATTAAGCAGTTTCATAATAATGTTATTGGCTAAACTTGAAAATTATTGACTTTTTTTTTCAAGCTCCAGTGTGCAGCTAGAATGACCTCATGGCTAAAAAGATCATGATCACATACGCCTTGTGGGCAATGGGTGGCCCACTTGGCCTTCATCACATTTACCTGGGCAGAGACAGCCATGCTCTTCTTTGGATACTAACCTTCGGCGGTTTTGGCCTTGGCTGGGCAAGGGAGTTCTTCCGTATCCCATCGTACGTGAACGAAGCCAACCATGCAGCAGACAGAGCCCCCGTTAGACGTCCACAAGCCACTCCACCACCACCAGTAGGCCTGATTCGGTTTGCCGGTCAGATTTGTGTTGGTATTTACTTCGGCTCTTTGGCTTTAATAAGCCTCAGTTTTCTTAGCTTTTTCTACTTCCTAGTGCTGCCACTGAGCGTAGCTACAGGTATTCATCTGGTGTCCTCTGTGGGCCAGCAGACCTCTGACCTTCAAAAGACCCTCATTACGTGCATCATCACGTCATCCATCTTCTATGGCAGCAATCTTTCTCCTCTGCCCATCAGCATTGCTGGCAGTGTTACCGCTGCGCAGCACAGCACGTTCAAACCTTTGAGGCCAGAGCCACTTGGTGAGATGCACTATAATATGACATTTAATGCATGTCAACCTAGTTAACAGGAAATATTCTAAGAACTGGCTAACACTCTGGCAAAAATTTTTGAAAGGGTTCTTGCAGTAATGTTAATAGAACGTACATTCAGAGTTATTTGGTCTTTAAAAATTTTCTCAAAATGTTTGCAAATCATCATTAATTGAATGTTTTTTTTTCAGAAACATATTTAAATGTTCGTCTAACATTTTTAAAATTGTACTACTTGTTTCAGAATGTCCAGAAAACAGTTAAGAGTAACAGTCCCACAATGTTTGCAAAATGATCAAATGGAATGTTCCCTTTAAAGAAACAGTTCACCCCAAAAAAATGTCTAAAAAAAATTGTCATAATTTACTCACCCTCATGTCGTTCTAAACCTGTATGAGTTTCTTTCTTATGCTGAACATAAAAGAAGATATTTTGAAGAATACTGTAAACAAACAGTTGATGCTGGTCCCCATTGACTTCGACAGTATTTATTTCCCTACTATGGAAGTCAATGGGGACCAACTACTGTTTGATTCTTCAAAATATCTTCTTTTGTGTTCAACGTAAGAAATAAACTTACACAGGTTTAGAACGACATGAGGGTGAGTAAATGATGACAACATTTTCATTTATGTGTGAACTATTCCTTTAACATTCACATAACCAAGAAAAAAAAGTGTTTTTAAAACATTTAAAAAAACTGGACCTAATGTGAACATTAACAACTTTCTAAGAACATATTTTTGATACTTTGATACTCTACACATCTAAGAGTTTGAATGTTTTCATAACATATTTGGAATTCTTAGAACATATTTTTGTTAGCTAGGTAAAGTCGTTTGAGTTACATCATGTGCAAGACTGTTTAATTAACCCAATTTGTGTTAATCTTCCCAAGGGCCTCGTCTGTATCGTCTGAGTTTAGGTGTGCTGGCTTTTTCTGCTCCGCTGGGATACTGTGCATTCCACAACACCACTGCCACATTATACTACATATCGGACTGTATAGCGGCCCTGCTTGATTTCTTCTGGTTTATTCCATGGCTCAAAGGACTCTTGGAGTATTTTCTGCTGTTGCCATACCGTCTGCTATGTGTCCTGACAGGAGGGGGTTTCTACGAAGAAAGCTGGAGGAAGGTGCTAGAAATAATTCTTAATGAGTACAGTAAAAAAGAAATGGAGGCATTGAAGGTGAGCTCAGTAGGCTATAGTTTTGAGTTGTCAGCTGGGTATATAACATTTATTATTTTCACTTTGCAGTGTGTTTACATATAATAACATATTTGTCATCATATTATTTTCTTAAAATCAGATACTATCATTGTCAGAAGAAGCTTCTCAGGAGGAGGTCACTCGCAGCTATAGGGAACTGGCTAAATTGTGGCATCCAGATCACAACCCCAAGCGGCAAGCAGAGGCACAAAAGATGTTCATTCAGATACAGGAGGCATATGAAATACTTCTCAACAGACATAAGACAAAAGGAAAACAATGATCTTCTGAGGAAGAGGTCACATATGGTTTAAAAGACACAAGAGTTAATTTTCACATACTCGAGAACGACAGGTTTTTTTTCTTGATAAACTGAATCTCAAGTAATAAACGTGAATCTCTTTAAACAAAAAAGTTTCTCATTTTTGTTCAGAGAAGTTCTCCCCGAGGAGGACAACTTAAGGTTCTCGGCCATCTTGTGGCAACATTAAGTATTAAAAGAGTTTATACTCTAACACAGCGGTCTTCCACAGGGAGATGGCAACCCCAAGGGGTTCTGCAGTGGTACTGCAGGGGGGGTCGGCCAATTATTGTTTGCAATTTTTTGGAGAAAAAAAAAAAAAAAAAAAAGAAACAAATAAACTAAATTTAAATATTAATTACAAAAATAAAATATTAAATGCTATTGTCATTCACGAATTAAAATAAATTTAATAAAATTAATGTATATGACTGAATATAAAAGTATATGAGTAAATAGTAAATATATGTACTTAGTATATATATATGTCTAAATTAGTATAATCAGAACAGAGTATTATATGGTACTATATGCATGTTACTATAGGACAGGCCTACATAACAGCCACACCTACAATAACAAAAAGAAGAAGACAAAGAATATGTACACTAATGAAATTATAGAGTTTAGAATATCATGAATGTATCAATTTTGTCTAATTATATGTTCAACAAAACCACCTGTTACCCTACACAGGGAAATAATTAAGTGTTGCTTTAATTAAGGAATTTTGTATTTATGATAAATCTTAGTAACACATTTGCTTTTTGAATGTAATTTTTTTTATATGCACAATAATATAATTATTAATGGTTTTAGAATTTAGAATAGGCCTATCATTACTGTGTGATTTGCTCTAATTATACATTCAAAAAGATATTCCCACAAACAGACAAATATTACCTGTTTTGACACAGGGAAGTGCTTAAGGGTTGCTTAAATGAAAAAAGTAGCCAATCTTAGGAAACATTTGTTTTTTGAATGTCACTTGTACTGGCACTGTCATCGAAATAATAACAACAAGAATATGCACATGAATATAATTATTAATGGCTTTAGAATTTAGAATACGGTGTCATTTGTTCTAATTTTACATTCAACATAATTCAAGAGCTTAAATGAAAAAAGTACATTTATGATAAATCTTAATAAACACATCTGAATGCTATTTTTTGAATGCTACTTTTATTGACAGTGTCATCGAAATATTAACAACAATATGCACATTAATATAATTGTGACCCTGGACCACAAAACCAGTCATAAGTCTCATGGGTATATATTTGTAGCAATAGCCAACAATACATTGTATGGGTCAAAATTATCGATTTTTCTTTTATGCCAAAAATCATTAGGATATTAAGTAAAGATCATGTTCTATGAAGATATTTAGTCAATTTCATACCGTAAATATATCAAAACTTATTTTTTTGGTTAGTAATATGCATTGCTAAGAACTTCATTTGGCCAACTTTAAAGGTGATTTTCTCAATATTTTGATTTTTTTGCACCCTCAGATTCCAGATTTTCAAATAGTTTATCTCGGCCAAATATTGTCATATCAAATATTGTCAAACAAACCATACATCAATGGAAAGCTTATTTATTCAGCTTTCAAATGATGTATAAATCTCAATTTCAAAAAAACTGACCCTTATGACTGGTTTTGTGGTCCAGGGTTTGTGGTTGTAAATGGTTTTAGAATTTAGAATATCATTACTGTGTGGTTTGTTCGAATTATACGTTCAAAGAAATTCCAACAAATTCTATCTGTTTGACACAGGGAAGTGCTTAAGGGTTGCTTAAATGAAGTAGCCTATTATTTAAGATAAATCTTAAGAAACATTTGTTTTTGAATGTCTCTTGTCATCGAAATAATAACAACAACAATATGCACATGAAGATAATTATTAATGGTTTCAAGAATTTAGAATATACTGTCATTTGTTCTAATTATACAGTACGTTCAACATAATTCCCACAAAGCTTAAATGAAAAAAGTACATTTAAGATAAATCTTAGTAAACACGTCTGTTTTGAATGTTACTTTTATTGACAGTGCCATAGAAATACTAACAATTATAAAATAAGCACATTAATATAATTAGCCTATTGATTGTTTTCGAATTTAGAATATCATCGTGTCATTTGTTCTAATTAACTTATACGTTCAACAAAAAGTCACTTTTACTGACACTATCGTCGAAATTAAATCATAGTAAGTAATATAATAATATGTGTCTTTTGTAGCTTCTGCGTAGCTTTGTATTTCCTAACCAGTAGCATGAGGATCGATGCATTCGATAATCCCTCCCAATCATGGGTTTTCGGTTATAGGTTATTCGGGCCTGTATCCCGGCATGGGCCCGGAAGTTGTTTGGGGTTTCAGGTAAAAGATCCCGGAGATGCTGCCTTCGCCAGAGAAAACAAACGGCGCTTCTGCTGTATGAATATTGCAATCACAGTCGATCGTCAGGTAAGAAAAAAACACACCGTGCAAAATCGATAGCAGTTATTCAAGGAAAGTGACATTAGGTCAGGTAACTATGCTCGGAATGGGAGAGTTTACACGGCTAGACGCATCTGTCGAGTGCTGGGTGCCATAGCAACGCCAGCGGGCTCTCAGGAAACATAATTCCGCTTTAGTTTGACACGTCTAAAGATCGACTGTATTTCACGACTGGAGGCTGTCGATTGGATTGCGTTGTCAGCAACGCTAGTTCTTTCGTTTGTGAGTTAGTTTAGCGATGTCTTTGCCTTATTGTGAGCTGTCACGTCTCGTTAGCTGGTTAGCAGCGGTTGCTAGCTTGTGTTGCTCTAGACAGACAGGATTGACATGATTCTGCGTGCTGTCTGTCAATCCTCCTCTGCAGCACGATGGTGCATGAAAAGTTACGAAACATACGAGTGCTCGAGCACGATAATCATGTTCTCGTCGCCAGGCATTGTTTATGGTGTGATTGCTGACAGAGAGGGGCTGTTTCGATCATTGCGGTTATTGAACTCATTGATAGCACTGTGAATTCATGAGATCTGCCTGTTGCTGCTGTGTATGTTTTCTGTCTTTTACGACACAAAGAGGTCTTACGTTTCTGAAGGCCTGCTTGTTCATATCATGTTATTGTATATGTTTAGATAATATATTATTATAAGTATTGCACCATATAAATAATATAAGATAATAGTATTTAAGAGTCCATGTTTATTCTAGGTTTTAAAGAATGAAAAAGAAAACAATATGTCGTTTGTCATCTAACTGTGTAATAGCAACTGTCTAGAGCCTACACATGCTCTTTATGATATCTGAATGTGTTTTGATCCATAATAACCATGAAAAAATTAATAAATAATTAAATTGTGATACCAGAAATCTAAAATCCTTCAGAAGGAGTTTGTATCTGGTACCAAAGTGTATTATAATGGGAAAAAAACAAATTATTTTTCAATAAAATATTTGTTAATACATAATTTGTGTAAAAAGAAAGGTCGACAACTCAGTGTCACTTTTCATGTTTTTTCAATCACTTATAGCATTTCATTGCCTGTTTTAAAACACCTTGTGCACTATTTTGTTATTAGTAAATGTATGGTGTATCTTTATTTCTAATTTTAGTTTATGTATATTTAAAAAATCTCTGTTATGAGTGGAGCAGACAAAATGAGACTATTTTGCATGTCCATTTCAACAAATCTATTCATTCCCACTTATGCCATGCACTAGCAATGTTTAGGAAAGTGCCATGGTGGTTTATGTTGTTATTTAGTGTAAAATATTACATCAAAGGGGAGGTCATTAGCCCTACTATTTCCTGTCATAAAGAGCAGTATGTGTGAGGGTCTGAATTTTAGACAAAATGAAATATTTTGGGGTTATATTTGATTTATAGACATCCAGAAAGAACTATTTACATGCCAATGGTTAAAGGCTTTGAAGGCTTTCTTTAAATATGGCTCTCATTTGACAGCAGATGTGTCAAATAGTTATTTTTATAAACATAAACATGTATTTTGTTTTGCTAAAGGGTTGCATTTTTTTCCAGTACCAAAGCGACAGACAATATGTGGAAATTTCTGAGTAATAGCAAATCATAACAACCCCTGCATTTGGCTTAGTATCAGCGTTGCTTTAGATGTCAGCCTGTGTTCTGATAGGTCACAGGCTAAAGGGAGGGCAGTTTCTTGCATTTTACACTCTCCATTTAAGACTAGAATTCTATAGAATGGACACTCAATTCAGCTGTTGAGCTAGAAATGAGATCTTGACCAGTGTGTGCATGTAAATTATTCAGCTACTCGAACCGTGCAACCACACAGGAAAGGAAGAAATAACAAACTGCAAGTAAACCAGTTTATTTTTTCAGTTGAAATCAGAGGAGCCAAATACATACATTTTAGCGTTCTTCGTGTGCACTGTATTACTGTAAAATGTACCAGTGCATGCACTTAGGTTTCTTAAAAACTTGCTTTGCTATTTTATGTTCAAAGTTTTTTTGTAAGGTGTGTACATTTTGTGCCTTGTAAAGAAATATTTGTTTGTATGATTTCTCGGTACAGGCAGCTGGTGTGATGATGAATGCTGACGATTGCAATGGCCGTTCGTACATGTCAGGTAAGGTGCCTTTTTCAGAACTTATTCTTTTGTTTTTAACATAGACATGCATGTATCTAAATATAGTGGATTTCAAATGCCCATGTTCACATTAAAATCTGGGATTTTTGTTATTTTAAACTTTTTAATTGAAAGACATTTAAAAAACACTTTTTTTTTTTTTCATTTCAACTTTTCACTCAAATTGTCATGCTGATATAATTCATAGTGGAAAACTTGCTTTAAATATTAAAATGCAAAGAAGTATTTTGAACCCCATTGTACATGTTAATGTTTTCAGGTAATGGAGATTCTTCAACAGAGCGGGAGTTTTTTGCAGGGCTGAGAGGACCCACCGTGAGCACACCAAACAGTCAACAGTCCTCACCCAGCCGTTCACTCAGTGGTCAGTATTTCTGTCCATTAAACTCATTTTACATCTTACTTTTCTAGAACAATTTCTGCATTTGCCATAAATCACTGGCACGCTGATAGTCGATGATTTCTACTTTGGATAAAAGCATCTGCCAAGTGAATAAATGTACAACTTTCTCTCCATTCCCAGCTAACTCCATCAAGGTGGAGCTGTATAGTGACGAGGAGGCAGCTGGTGCTCCGCTAGCGGAAAGGAGAGTCGGCGAGAAGGATGAAGGATGGAAAGATGAAAAGGGCGAGTTGGCAGAAGATGGTGGCGTGGAGATGGTTGGAGGTATACGAGGGCAGGCTGAGAGCGGCTGCGGGGAGTTGGCCAGCTCTGAATCCGCATCCCCTGGTCCCATTCGGCTGCCCAATGGGAAACTTAAATGTGATATATGTGGGATGATCTGCATTGGTCCCAATGTTCTAATGGTGCACAAGCGCAGCCATACAGGTAAGTGTTTCTTGACTAACTCTTGACAAAAAAAGATCAAACGTATTTAAAAATGTTAGCTTGAAAATATGTGCTGCTGTTTTTTTGGGCCGGTGGGAAAACTGGTAGTCTTGGTCTCGGTAGGTGAGCGGCCATTCCAATGTAACCAGTGTGGGGCCTCCTTCACTCAGAAGGGCAACTTGCTTCGTCACATCAAGCTCCATTCTGGCGAGAAGCCCTTCAAATGCCCCTTTTGTAACTACGCCTGTCGCCGCCGTGACGCCCTGACAGGACACCTCCGCACCCACTCCGGTGAGCCTTTGTGGTTTGAGAGAGGCCATTTGCGAGAAATAAAGAGAAGGAAGGAGAGAGAACTTTGTGGCTGGAAAAGTGTGTGGGATGGAAAAAGCCTTTTGATTTGCCACAGAGCAGAAATTAATGTAGTCAAGGTCATTTTAACCTCTTTCTCCTTTAATGCAAGTGGTGATTATTTTGCTGCCTAGAACTTTGCTAAACTTCCTTTTAAACCTGTTGCTCTACTAAGGGTTGTGCGAGCAGACTAATAAGTGTGAATAAGACCTCATCGATCGGTTATGCAATCAAGCTAAAGACAACAAAATTCAGCGGTCTAGTATGACATTTAGAGTATTATGAAAACAGGATATCCTGCTTGTGTTTTGAATGATGAAGAGCATTCACCTGTAGTGCCTAAGTAAGGTCCTTTGAATGAGGATGCAGATATTCAGAGAAATTACTTAGTAATGAATTTCTCCGAAATGACGCACATCTCTAAAGCTGAATGGACAGATGCGGTCTGTAGGTTTTCCTATTCTACAAACGTCATAGATGAGCAGCGTGTCATTTCGTTTTTGGAGAAATTGTGACAAGGGAAATTCTGCGGTCTGATGAATCCTGTACCAGTCATTACATTATTCATATTTAATAATTATATTGGAAATATTATTATATTATACAGTATCTCACAGAAGTGAGTACACCCCTCTCATTTTTGTAAATATTTTATTATATCTTTTCATGTGACAACACTGAAGAAATGACACTTTGCTACAATGTAAAGTAGTGAGTGTACAGCTTGTATAACACATTTTTATTTAGCATGTTTTGTTTACTTTTTTTATATTACAATTTATAAAAATTATAGTTTTAGTAGGTAACACCTTATATTAGCCACAACATCAATGTTGTATAAGTAATGTTCATGTTTACATAACACCTGCAAAGCTGTGTGAAATGCATTCATATTCTGCCTCCTCGATATTTCAGTGTCCTCCCCTACAGTAGGGAAGCCCTACAAGTGCAGTTACTGTGGCCGCAGCTACAAGCAGCAGAGCACCCTGGAGGAGCATCGTGAGCGCTGTCACAGCTACCTACAGAGTCTGGACCACCAGCCGGCTCACAACACCCAGCCTGCACACGGTAATACCATATTTACTCACAAATGCAAGTTGATGTTAAAATGCATGATGTCGTTCTTTCTGCAGTAGCAGTAGTATTCATTACTCAAGTGCTGTCTGCAAGGCGACTGCTTTTGAAAGCTCTCCAGTGTTATTGCATTCATGCTCTGTGAAGATCACAGCTGGGGATGTAGCTGCGCGCGTGAAAGGTCCAAAGCACTTTGTGATTAAAATACATGCTTTTGAGAGGTATTATTGTAAACACAGAGAATATAAACTGGTGGTTATGTGTAAAATATTACTGTGCTGTAGGCATTGAGGTATGTACGAGTTAAAATGTAGCTTATACCTGCTGCAGTCTCTTATGTTGTTAATATGCTCAGTTTTATTCTTATTTTAAAAACAGACCTGGGGCCCGTTTCAGTAAGGAGGTTCAACCAACTCTGAGTTGAAACTTGAACTCTAAGTTGACTTATCCTGAGATGGGAACCTCTGAGTTTTTGGTTTCAGAACAGCTGAACTGAGATGGTACAATTCACTCTGAGTAGGTTGACTCTGAGTTTAAAGGGGTCATATGATGTTGCTAAAAAGAACATTATTTTGTGTATTTGGTGTAATGAAATGTGTTTATTATTTATTATATTATCATTTTCCACATACTGTACATTATTGTTTCTCCTCTATGCCCCGCCTTTCTGAAACGCGTTGATTTTTACAAAGCTCATCGGTCTGAAAAGCAAGGTGGGCTGTGATTGGCCAGCTATCCAGTGCGTTGTGATTGGCCGAATACCTATGGCCACAGCACTCGACAAAAAGACATCTGCATACTTCCGAGTCAACACGTAACTTTAATTCTTAATCACTATTATAATATCAGAGGTGAAAACTTGTAAATTATTGAACTAATATTCATTTTCATGGTATCCCATGGTAAAAAAGAAAAAAAGAATGGCAGCAGCTAAAAAAATGAAGTATAAAAACACAATTCAGTTAAGGTAAAGCTTTAAGCATAAAAGGTTCATGGGTGTTGGCAAACATTTGACTTATTAAATATCATCAGCAGCTTTCTCCACATAGTCTTACGCTCTTTTCACATAGGCTAATTAAATGTGCTTTAATCCAGCCTGTTACATTTCTTAATTAGAGTAATGAAATTAACAACTGACTTGTACTCGGTCGACAGCAAGAAGGCAGAGGCTCGCAAAATGGGGGGAGAACCTGCACCAGCACCACTGACAGATGAAGAGGAGATGGTCAAGTATTGTAAGAATTTTGAAATCCAAAAGAAAAAAAGAATAACTGTTGATTTTGTATTTGAAGGAAATAAAGATGACTAAATAAATTGTGAATAATTTTTTTTATTTACCAGCTGTGGTGGTGGTTACGGCATATATCTCATACTACCCCTCCATCTGGCATCCTTCCATTCCATACAGTAATCCGATTTATTTTCAGAAGGTGCGATGATGGGAATATGCGTGTCATCAATGCATCCAACCACACTGGAAATCCTGAAGGAAATTCTTAATTATTGGGTTACTTCCAGAGGTCGCAGCAAGAAGTGAACGTCATTTATCAGATTAGCCTCATTTAAACCGATTTCTACACCACTGACCTACAGTCCAGTGAAACTCCTCTTTGACGGATTTGTGCTTAGGAAAAAATGATCAGAAAGAGCATGAGAGCGGCGCACACTTTCCTTATCGGTCTGCATACAGTGGCCTTACTAATGTGCTCTGCATCTCCGATGTTTTAAAGAAAACTACCTTTGTGAGAGCGGCGCACACTTTCCTTATCGGTCTGCATAGTGGCCTTACTAATGTGCTCTGCATCTCCGATGTTTTAAAGAAAACTACCTTTTAAAACGGTACCACTCAAATAAATATGCATGTGACTATGGCAAAAAAAAAAAACTAATTTAAGTGCATTTTTCTTATTTTGCAAATTATCTGCCAATGGGGTAATATATTCTAATATTCTTGTTTTCCGTTTGCATTAAGATAATTTTTCTTACCCTATTACAGTTTTACGTTTTACATAAAATGCATTTAAAATGCACTTAAATGCAGTTGTTTCCCCCAGGAAACAAGACTAAATATCTTATATCATTTTTCATCTATAGAAAGTGCATCTTAACTTAAGTATTTTTTAGATATTTGTACTTGAAATAAGACAAAAATACTCAGTAAGAAAAGCATTTTTGCAGCGTGAATGAATGAATGAGGTATTTAAAAATTTCTTACGCTTTAAAAAGGGGGAGGAGACCATAAGAAACTCTAGGTTTACAGAAGAAAACTTGCTCCCGACAAGGTTAGGTTCATAGAATAAGTTACCTCTCTTTCAGAAACGGGCTTGACTTACCCTGCTTTCTCGTGTTTGACAAACCTCCCATTTTTTAAACTGAAAACCCAGAGTTTCCTTCATTTCAGGGTTAACATACTCAGTTTTCACTTAACCTCCTTTCTGAAACGGACCCCTGCTGTTCAGTCAAACTAAATAATAATTTAAGTAATTATTTAATTTAATTATTTTTACATTGGGCTAGATTTGATTTAGCTTCTTAAATAAAGGAGTACTTTTATTAGTAAATGAGTACACTACTGTTCAAAAGTTTGCAGTCAGTGCAATTTAATTTATTTTTTTTGGATACTTTTTTAATTGATACTTTTATTCAGCAAAGACACATTAAATTGATCGAAAGTGACAGTAAAACATTTTATAATGTTATAAAGTTCTATTTTAAATAAATGCTGTTCAATCGAACTTTCTTTTCATAAAGGAATCCTGGGAAAATGTGTTGCAGTTTCCACAGAAATACTAAACGGCACTGTTCCAGGACTGTTTTCAACATTAATGATGATAGGAAATGATTCTTTAGCACCAAATCAGCATATTAGAATGATTTCCGAAGGATAATGTGCAGCTTTGCCATCACAGGAATAAATTACATTTTAACATTTTATTATTAAAATAGAAACTAGTTTTGAATTTCACAATATTACTGATTTTACCGTATTTATCAAATAAGTGCAGCCCTGGTGAGAGATTTCTTCCAAAAACCGACCCTAAAACATTTGAACATTAGTGTATATTCAATAACATATGAAAATTGCTGTCCTATCAAAAATGGTGTGAAATTTCACTGGTATTGGCTAATGTTTGAAGCCAAGCACTCACTATTTCAATTATAAACATGCTTTTACATTGGCATTATGTTCAGGTGAAGAGTCCCATAATGTGGAGATGATGTCTGAACCCCTGATCCAGTCCTCCTCAGAGAAGATGACCTTCATTGATCGGCTGGCCAATAGCATCACCAAGAGGAAGAGATCTACACCCCAGAAGTTTCTGGGTAAGCCCATTTCTTTGAATACCTAAGTAGAACAGTGTTTCTGCTCTGCTATTCAGGGTGAAAAGTTGTGAGCTAGTGAACTGTATGCAGTGAAAGAGACAATATACAGACTTTACACAAAAGCAAACATACAACAATCAGATAACTCACTTTCTTATTGATTTTGTTTGAAAAAAATCCATTTCAGCGAATCGCATGTTATTATGTCTGACTCTGATTGAGCTGAGAACCATTACTCTCTTTTGTGTACATTTTTCAAATGTTAAACATGCAAATTTGTAAGGTTAGTGAAACTTAATTCAGTCTAATGGACTGGTTGTCAATATAAAGTGTAGATATATACACTACTGTGGTTGGTAAGATTTTTTAATGTTTTTGAAAGAAGTCCATTATGCTCACCAAGGCTGCATTTATTTGATCAGAAACACAGAAAAACAAATGTAATTTTGAGAAATATTATTACAATTTTTGTAAATTATTTTGGTGGTGGCGAAGCGGAATTTTCAGCAGCCGTTGCTCCAGTATAAATGTCTTTACTATCACTTTCTAAATAAAAGATTTAATTTATTTTTAAAAAAATCTTACTGTACTCAATTTTTGAATGGTAGTGTATGTATCTTTTTTGAATGTATGTTTTATATTATATTTCTTTTTTTTTTTTCATTTGTGTGTGTGTGTGTATGTTTATATATATATATATATATATATATATA